GACCGAAGTCTGCAATTTTAGGGTTTATGTTTTGGTCGAGGAGGACATTGCTTGAAGTTAGGTTTCCATGGATTATGTTATGGTGGGTGTGGAGGCTAATTAAACCTCTAGACATTCCTTTTGCTATTCGCATTCTTGTTGTCCAATCTATGGGTGTTTCTGGGCCTCGAGCTGCATATGAATTGAGAAGTTAGGGTTTTGTGGGGTTTTGTGAATACAAAATGTTATTAAATAGAAAATAAGTTTTGTCACATTGCTAAGTGGATAAAGAATATTTGTAACAACTTTATCAAATAGTAACCATGTTGAGTGGTGTAAGTAGAAGTTTCATAAGAATCAAACAAAAATAAAAGTCAAGTCAAGTAGTGAACCTCATAAAAAATGTGAAACTTAGTTGTTATTTAGTGAGATAGTGACAATCTATAAAAGTAATATCCATTACAAATTTTATAAAAATGATTAAAAAACATAAAAAGTTTTGTAAAAATGGATCAAAACTAAAAGTCTACTACTAAACATCTTGTAGATATTGAAAGTTGATTGTTATTTAATGTCAAAATTTCAAACATGAAAACTAAAATCCATTAGAAAATTTCATAGAAATGATACAAAAAAAAAGGTTAGATACTTTCATTAAAAGTAAAGCTCTTAAAAAATATGAAACTTGGTTGCTATTTAATAACTAATTTCCTCTACTTAATGTCAAAGTAGCAAGCACCTTTTAATTGTTATTTAAGGATAAAATTTCAACTAGTCAAAGTAAAATCCATTTTAAAGATCAAAATAGTAAGCAACTTTTTATTTAAGGATAAAATTTGAACTAGCCAAAGTAAAATCCATTACAAAATTTCATAAAAAAATGTATAAAAAAAGTGAAAGGGTTAAAAAAACATACCATGAAGAAAAGTAGTAAGGCTTCCATTGGGCATGTAATCAAAAACAAGAAGTTTCTCCCCTTTTGGCCCTAAATAATAAGCTCTCATAGCCAATAAATTTGGATGCCTAATTTTCCCAAGCAAATTAACTTCAATTTCAAACTCTCTTTGATTTTTCGTAATCTTTTCTCTCAATCTTTTCACAGCAACTTGATCACCATCTTCCAAAGTTGCCTTATAAACAGTTCCATAAGTGCTTTTCCCCATAATCTCAGCTGTCGCACACAATAAATCATCCGCCGTGAAACCCAATGTACCTTCGAAGTGCACAAGCTTTCCTCCCGCTTCTCCGGCCACCTCCGCATGTGGTGGCGCCACCTCTTTTCCACCGGCGGCACCACCTTCAGCGTCCTTCGGCTTAGCTCCTCCTCCTCTTTTCCTGAACAGACAACACAGGAGTATGCAGCAGATTAACAGTAGGACTGCAATCAAAGCACCGGCTGCAATGAGAATGATCTCTTTGGTGCTTAGTTTGTTGCCGCCGTGGTTTGGTGGCGGAGTGGGGGTGGTGGAAGGAGGGGGAGACGTCGGACATGGCGTTGAAGAGCTGTATCCACACAGATCAAGATTGCCGATGAAAGCAGTCGAATCGAATTTTGAAGAAAGTGTTGTTGGGACTGAACCCGATAGATTGTTGTATGAGACATTGAATGAAGTAAGATTTAATCGATCACCCAAAAATGTCGGGATTTCTCCGGTGAGATTGTTATGAGCGAAATTCAGCGAATTTAAGGAACTCAGATTTGAAAAACTTCGAGGGATGCTTCCATTAAACGAATTATATGAAAAATCGATACTTTTAATGTTAGAAAGTTCACCGAATTCAACGGGAACAGTTCCGATGAATTTATTATGACTAAATGAAATCTCTTGAAGCTCAGTCAACTTACTTAAAGAAACAGGTAGGGGCCCAGAGAAGAAATTATGGTCAAAGGTTAAAGATTTGACCATGGATTTGACGCCATTTTTGTCATTCCCCCAAGAATCTGGAAGAACCCCAGAAAAATTATTGAACTGTAGAGCAAGAAACATGAGGGAATTTAGTTTCGTAATCGGGACAGGGATTGATCCGGTTAAAGAATTCAATGTCAAATTGACCCTATAAAGCTTAGAACAATTAGCAAGACTTTCTGGGATTACACCCACCAAAGAATTATTACTAAAATCAATAGTTTGAAGCAATGGACATGAACCCAATGCGGGAGGAATCGAACCAGTAAACCTGTTGTTAAACAACTGAAGTCCTCTGAGATTCGGAAGGAACCCTAATTCCTTCGGAATCGAACCTTCAATGGCGTTATCATGGAGGCTGAGCTTTCTGAGAGCTTGAAACTGACCAATTTTCGGTGTGATTCGCCCACCTAATCCTCGCCATGGAAGTTGAATCACGATAACTTGACCTTGAGCACATTTGATTCCTTGCCAACTTCCAGAACAAGCTCCATATCCGCTATCGTTCCAGCTTTTCAAGAACCCATTCGGGTCAATGAGTTCTTGTTTGAATGATTGGAGAGCTTGAAAATCTGATTCTGTGACAATGATTCCATCCCATGATTGGCTTGAAACTGGGTGTGGGTGAATGAGAAGGGAAATTAGTAGGAGAAGAAGTAAGGTGAAACAGTGTGTGTTGTTTGTATTCTTCTTCCATTTTTCTTTTTTCTTGAAGGGAATGTTTGATTGGTCAAAGGGGGTTGATTTCGTTGAGAAGTTAGGAGTCGTATGAGAATTGGACTCCATGAAAGAGGAGGAAGAAAGAAAGAAGAAATGAAGATGAAATCAAACAGTGAGATGAAATAGTCTTGGAAGAAGGTTTTGTAGTGATAGAGACGGTGTTTCCAGACAATGCACGTGATCCTCACGCTCTCACCCAAAAAAATGTTAATAATTTGGTTAAAAAAAAGAAGTTAATTTAAGCTATTTTTTATTATCATTTATACATCTTTTTTTTTTATGAATTTTTATATTATTGTATATCTCTCATTTCTTATTACATTTTCTAATCGATATTCAGTAACATTTGCCACTAATTATAATGACAATAACCATGAAAAATATGAATTTATTTCTTTATAACTTACTTCTAAGCTATTGAAAAAACGTCGATCATGTTCAAAATTGTTTAATTTTGAGCTAGCTATATGTTATATCAAAAGTAATTTTTACTGACAAAATATATATTTTGGATTTCAGAGTTTATATTCCGGGCAAAAATTGAGACGTATTCCAAAATTTAAGAACATATTTGAAATCAAAATAGTAAGTCGAAATTAAAGATTATGTTATATTTTTATTAGAAATCTAACAAAAAAAAAAAAAATAACTACCGAAGTGAAAATGTAACGGATTGCTATGTGCAAATGAAAACAGAAACTAAATATTTCAGATTCAATGTTTAGAAAGAATTTATGAAAAAAAAAAAAAAAAGTTGTGCATACAAGAAAAATATGCACATTATACATTATCCAAATCAGTTTCTTAAAAAAAATAAAAAATAAAAAAAATAAAAAAAAACATTTCAAAACCAAATTACCCGCTTCCAATTTGAAGGTTATTTTGGATAGAAATTAGAAAATTATGATCATTCTTCTAAATACCCCCAATATATTTAACTAAAATGTTACTCTATGATATTATTTTGTTTGTTAATTTCGAAGATGTGTCCATGTGTATGTTCTAATTAAAAGTTGCACAAATTCTTCTAAACAATTCGATAGTAACTATCATCGAACTTGTATATTATTATTTATTACTTATTATTCGTTATTGCAATGAAAAATGATTTGGCTTTTTGGAAAAGGAAAAGAATGTGGTGAGACAAAGTTTATGTCAGAAGTGTCCCTCAAGATTCAGAGAGGCTCCCTCTCTCACGTGCTCCAAAGTCTAACGGCTAGTTTTCCATTTTCTCTATTTATTTTATTTTTTTAATTGATAACATCTCCCACCGACGACCGCTCCCTCTAACGGCTATCTTTTGATTACAATTTATATTCATAAACACAAATGTAAATAATAAAAGTATTAAAATTTTACATTATTAAAAAAATAATTGCTTTTTTTATGGTTATTATGTGTCAGAATAAATGAATAATAATATTATTAAATATGTTGTATGTATTGTAAAGTACATTGCGCACAACTTTCCTCCTAATTTAACTTGTTTCATCTATTTATATAAGTGTTTTGGTTGGTTGTACTTTTAAATCTAATCTTACATATTTGATGCGTTAAAAGTAAAATACATCTTAAATTGACTCATTAATTAATAAAAGAGTAAATTACACGTATGGTCCCTATGGTTTAGGGTAATTTGCATGCTTGGTCCCTAATTTATTTTTTTAACTCGGAAGGTCCCTATGGTTTGTTTTTGTTATGCGTTTGATCCCTATTGTTTATTTTTGTTACACGTTTGGTCCCTGTCTTATCTAAAAAGACTATTATTTAAAGAGGAAAAAATGATGGGGTAGGTGAGGTAAGGTGAGGAGGTGGGATTAGGGGTGTGTTTATTTAAATAAATTAAAAAATTCAAGGGCATAATAATATTTTTAGGTAAGATAGGGACCAAACGCGTAACAAAAACAAACAGTAGGGACCTTTCGAGTTAAAAAAATAAGTTAGGGACCAAACGCACAAATTACCCTAAACCATAGGGACCATTCGTGTAATTTACTCTTAATAAAAAGATCAAAATTTTAGTGTAGTTTTGTTTAGACATTTTAACAGTAGTCAAAAAACAAAATTACATACATTTTGAGACGTGGTTGAGTGGAGTACAACAAATTTTTATTTGAACATTTTCTAAAACGAATATAATAATTTTAGAATAGAAATTTAATGTAAGTTTACAAATTTGTTCTTTGATAAGCATAATAAGATAGTAATAATTTTGGTATATTTCTTTTTTCTTTTTTTTTGATATTCACTAACATATAAATAATATATGTTTTTTTTTTGAAACGGCGAATAATATTAATAAAAACGAACCACTACTAGCAAGTAACTAGCAGCGGAACGGAAGTACAAGGTCGAAGCAGAAACATACATGGAATGATATATATTATTATGAACTTAAAGTGTAAATGGAGATGCGGTCCAATTATCCCAATCACCTATTCCTTCATTGCCCCTGTACTTTGTCCAGAAGTACACCATCGACTTAATTGCCCCTGCACCATAAATGGGAGTATGAAATACTCCATTGAACACCCGCTCATTCCTAAGTTTCCACAGGTTCCAGATTAGGCCATGACATATGTTGAGGAATCTTATCGCTTTTCTTGGGTTGCTTCCCCAATTTTCTGCAAAAATGATTAATTCTCCAACTGATGAGAACTCAGCCTGTTGTAAACCACACCAATTGAAAATAATCTTCCTGACTTCACATGCGAATGGATATTGTACCAGGATATGATCAGAGCATTCCAATCTGTTAACACAAGCGCCACAATTATCATTTTCTATATCAACCCCTTTGCATTTCAATGCCACTGCGGATGGAATCTTCCTTTGCATTGCTCTCCATATAAAACAGTTGACTTTGATCGGAGTTACCTTACTCCATTTAAAAGTTGGTAAAACACGATTAGGGTATTGTAAATGTTCCAATTTTTTCCTTAGCAAGCTAACAGTGAACTGGCTGCCATTATCTAGTGCACAAGCCCATTGATCTTCTCCTGGTTCCAAATGTACCCTTGATAAGTCGTTTTTGAGATTATTGATGCACCTAATTTCGGTGTAATCAATCACGTTGGTTTTCCAATGAGCTTCAAATTGATTGTCTATAAATCTGTCAGACACCAAACATTTCTTCCTAGATTCCAACTCAAACAAAGATGGGTATTTTTCTTCAAGTGTAACCGGGCCTAACCATTTATCATACCAAAAAAGTGAATTATCACCGGATTTGATGTTTAATTGAAAAACATCCATAGTGTCCAACCCAACTTTTTTGAGATCATTCTTGCATGCTATATGTTTGTGATGCTACAAAAGATAATTAATTTTAATTTGTGATCACTTCTCTTTATAATTTTGGGCTCGGCATGTATTGAGTCAGCTTGGCAAACACTGCACCTCCAAATCACGTGCCGAGCTCAAGACCTAACTCAACAGTAGCTTGCAGTGTTTCTCTCTTCTCTTGCCAAACTCTCTTTTTTCCTTCTTCTTTTCTTCCCCACTCGGCAGCCACTCCCTTGCTATGGTAAGAATGAGTGGCACGACACTACCATCATCCTTGTTGGAGCTAAAGAATGGGCACTTTTGGCTGAGGTGGAATTCGATATTCGGTAAGATCAACATCACTCATCCCAACCTAAGGCCTTGGTACTTTATAGTTTTTTTTTTTTCCTTGTCATTTTGCACTCTTTGTTTAGTTATATTTTTAATTGCATTTATGATTTTTTTTTTCTTTGAAATGAAACAAATGAGCTTCTCATGAAGTTACAATATGCAAACGAGCTTTCTAGTTTTTTTTTTTTTTTTTTTTTTTTTTTTTTTTTTTTTTTTTTTTTTCAAACAACAAAATGATTAAAGCTTTAACAAAGAGTTAGAAAATAAACATGCTACAAATTGTTAAAGGTCTATCCAATGTTGTGAAACCAACCAACCAACCTGATTAATCATTATTTTCTATTTTCTTATTACAAATCCAAAAACGACTATGTGATAAAATATATCATTTTTTGGCTTACTCGTTTAACGATCCAAGCTTTGGCGACACAATCATTCACAAACTAAGCTTAAGCTTTCAAATTTTAAAATTTTGTTTGATTATATATAAAATGATTGAAATTTTAGTAAGTATAATATTAACGTTGCATTAAATATTGTATTTACTAAAAAATGAAAATAATATGATATCGTATCCCTAAATTGATATGAAATGTATATTAATAATGTAACTATAACAATGACAAATATGTATACTTTTGACTTAGAAATGTTTAAAATAGTCTTGATAATGCTCAAATAGGGAAAACAATTAAAAATGTGATAAACCCATGGGATGTTGAAGATGACGATGGTATCCCTTGGCCTTTTTGGGAATTGAAGAAAGAGGCGTGTAGGCTTGATAGGCCTTTCTGATACGAGGTATCTTTTGGGAATTCAATCTTTGAAGTACAAGACTTTGACCATGATTATGTGTGTCGACCAATGATCTTTTACTTTCTAATTTTTCTATTAAATTAACTAGTAACGTTTACATTGGGCAATCCTTACTCAATCCCTACTCAAGATTTGAACGGTTAATTGTCTCTAGAATGTTTAGTTTAGTTTTTACAAATATGTTTAACGTTAAGTCTCTCAGATCATATTTTATGTTTCATTTATATGAAATACTAGGCGAATGTTCGTGCGTTGTGCATAAATACTTATATAGTTGAAGTCATTACAAACATATGTTTTTTTAAATATAACAATAACGTTATTTATATATGATTTGATGTTATTTATAGTTGTTTTATTGTTAAATAATTTTTTAAAATTTATTTGCTTAATGTTTTAATTTCTATCATTATAATTATTTAAAATATCAAACATTGTTTTTTTATTTTTAAGCTAACAATATAATCATTTATATAAAGTTATTTTTAACTATTGTTATTGTAAGTTATTTTAAATTACTTATTTGAAAACATGAATAAAATTATATATAATATATAATTTGATGTTATTTATAGTTGTTTTTATTGTTAAATAGCTTTTTAATTTTTTTTTTGTCTAATGCTTTAATTTCTATCATTATAATTATTTAAAACATCAACCATTGTTTTTTTTATTTTAAAGCTAACAATATAATCATTTATATAGAGTTATTTTTAACTGTTGTTATTGTAAGTTATTTTAAGCTACTTATTTGGAAACTTTTAACGATTATAAAAATATATTTTAGTTAAATTGAGATTACAATTTAGCTTTTACATTTATCACCACAATTTATCACTTTTAACTATTTATAAAATATTCTTTAGTTTTTTAAATGGAACTGAAATTTATATTTAAGTTGACATTGTAATGCGCAGTAAAACCTATATAGTTAAAGTCTTTACAAATATATGTTTTTTTTTTAATATAACACTAACGTTGTTGTTAAATTTGATATAATAACTTGTATATTAATTTGATATAATATATTGATTATTTTGAATTATATTATAATATATACATCTATTATAACGTCATAGCCTCAATCGTTTAAATGATTTCTACTCGCGAGTTATACATCAATAAAATTGAATATTATATATGGTTTAATATTATTTATAGTTGTTATTGTTAACTAATTTTTTAAAATTTATTTGCTTAATATTTTAATATCTATCCTTATAATTATTTAAAACATCAAACATTATTTTTTGATTTTAAAGGTAACAATATAGTCATTTATATAAAGTTATTTTTAACTATTGCTATTGTAAGTTATTTTAATATACTTATTTGAAAATTTTTAAAGATTATAAAAATATCTTTAGAAAATAGTTTTGTTAAATTGATATTACAAATTAGTTTTTTGAATTTATCACTATAATTTATCACTTTTAACTATTTGCAAAATATTTTTTGGTTTTTTTAGCGGAACAAAAATTTATATTTAAGTTGACACTGTAATGTTATATTTAAATTAACAATTTAAGTATTTTTGTCAAAATTGTTCAAAAGTTATAGCTTTAAATTGATAATTATTTACATATAACAACATTTCAAGTCTAATAAATTATGTATAATATGTTAAAATTTAAAGACATAACTTTATAAATAGAAGTAAATATATTATTTTAAAATTAAAATTTAGTCTATTTATGATTACACTTTAGATTTGATATTTATTTAACATTATTAACCAATTTATAATCATTATTAGAATAACACTATAATTTATCACTTTTAACTATTTATAAAATATTTTTTGGGTTGTTTAAGTTAAATAAAATTTATATTTAAGTTGAGCCTGTAATGCTATATTTTAATTAATAATTTAAGTATTTTATACAAATTGTTAAAAAATTATACATTTAAAATGATAATGGTTTACATCCAACCATATTTTAAAACTAATAAATTAAGTATAATATTTCAAAAGTTAAAAAACATAATTTAATAAGTAGAATTAAAGATATTATTTTAATATTAAAATTTAGTTTATATATGATTACACTTTAGGTTTGATATTATTTAACCTAATTACCAAATTATAATAATTATTATTATAAAAAAATTGAAAAGTCATGAAAGTTTCAAATGAATGTGGTGAAAGTAAAAAAAGAATAGGTTTCAAATGCATGAGATCTAAGAAAAAATGCTAGCTTTATAAGTATGTATGGTAATTGGTTGTGTATCTAATTATAAGCTAACTAATAATATAAAATCATATATTGAAAAATTATTGACTATTAAGACAAATGTTTCGCATACATTTTATTAAAATAAAATATAAATTAACAACTTTCGGATTATTTATACTTACATAAAAAAAAATTACAAAACCTTTACATTTGTCTTACCGGATTTCAATAAGTGGTTGGTTTGCAACTTATGGGTTTATTGTGAATACTAAAATTCATCTCCCATTATAGTTATGTAACACGAATAATAGTTTTTAGAGAAAATGATAAAAATTGTTATTTACACTAATTACATAACAAAAATAGCCACAAAAAAATCGAAATTACAAAAATAGCCTACAATTTCCCAGATGGATATGCCCCCATCTGCGAAATCACCATGCCATTTGCAAAATCCCCTTCTCTACACTATATAAACGTTTTTTTTCTCCATTTTTCACCCTTACTCTCTCTATTTTTGGGTTTTTTGTCGCGATTTTGGCTAGTTTTTGAAGAAAATGGAGGATTATGTCAACAATCCCGCAAATATGGTTATATTTTAACTCTTTTAATGTTTAAACTTTTTTTTTTATTTTATCATTTATTGTATTATTTAGTGTAAAAAAATAGTAATTATAAAGTTTTTGAAAGGGTAATTTTATTGTATTTGATAGTTTTAATATTTCTTTAGTATACTTCAACTTTAAATGCTATTTTGTTAGTGGTTGTTTGAATGTACAAGTAGAGACTGCGTAGAGTGTGCATTGATGGTTTAAATTTAACTAAATTGTTAGATAATGTTTACAATTTGTTATTTTTGTTGTTTGTTTAGTTGTTGTATAACTTGAAAACTTGTATATTCTTATCGTATAATTGTTTATATAAAGTGAAAAATAGTTAAATTACAGTATGTGCAAAATAGTCGTTTGTATATATATATTTGTCGTATAAGTTTAAGTTGAAAATTTGTATATATTTGTCGTATATATATTGTTTGTATTTGTCGTGTATATATATATATATATATATATATATATATATATATATATATATATATATATATATATATATATATATATATATATAAAGTAGAAAATTTATCATATATAGATTGTTAGATATTGTTTGTATTTGTCGTATAAGTTGAAAATTTGTATATATTTGTCGTATAACTTGCAAAATTGTTAATTAGAAAGATAAAAATTGTTTATATATTTGTCGTTTAAGTTGAAATTTTTTTTAATAAAATGTTTATATAATTATGTATGATATTGTTTTTTATCGTAAATATATTTGTTGTATAACTTGGAAAATTGTTTATATATGTGTATGTTATTGTTTTTTATCGTAAATATATAAATTATTAATTAGGAATTTGTATTTGCATCACTAATTGTTTATGTACTTATTGCAGTTCATAATCATATATTTTAAAAACAAAATATTTTTTAGTTCTCTAATTTTTTTTGTGTTTTTTTTTGCAGCATGATTTTAGTTTTATCAATATGAAAGTAATTGTGAACTTAAAAGGGTCGGACGGTAATATATGAGAAGTATTTGAAGTTTTAGATGATGTCAGACGTGCCATTTTCAGAGATACTGTATTTG